AACGGCCTCGGGCGCGGCGAGCGCCACCCTTCGCTTTTTCGCTTGCGCATCACCAACCGAATTGCAATGCGCGCCGCGTGCTGTGGCAATCGTGGTCAGCAACGGCGCGACCGCCCCGCTCCCCTTGCAAGTCGATATTAGCGCGTTGAAACACAAGCGGGCGCCGCGGCCACGGTGCCATGGGAAACTGGGTGCCACGGCCACATCTCAAGATGGCGAGGCGCAGATGGTCTGCGCACGCAGTCGCGGGACTGGCGTCTCGGCGTCGTGCCCTTTAGGTGCAACTTAAATGATGGGCATTCACAGCCGCCGCGGCGACCTTGCCCGAACGCGATGGCGATAGAGCGCTTATTCCGCGCGTGGACTCACGCGGCGGCGACACATGCGACCGCGCCTGGCCGCGTATATATCAGGTTTAGCATGCGCCCGCTGCGTTTGCACTGAAATATGGGCCAAGCCGCTGGCTGCGCGCCGATCGCATCCACATCGCCCGCGTTACGCGCGTGTCCTGCAGCGCGTGGGCATCGTTTCGCGCGCGGTGCCCGATGCGATCGCGCCGCTGCAACCCGCGCATTGTCGTTGCGAGCGGGAGAGGTGCACTCGACGGCGGTCGCGGCCTCTTGGCGTCGTTCAACCACGCGAAGCGCGCTCGGGCCTGGCCGACAACGCCGCAAGTACAAGCCCGAACTCTGGGCGCGTTGGAACTTCGTTAGCGCCGCACGCGCTGGGGGCAACCCGTCGCGATGTGATGCGCACCTTGCGACCTGCACCCGTCGGCAGATGCCGCCGACCCGATGCAATACCAACTCACGGCGTGGTCACCCACTCCGACGAATCGGTCGCCCGCGCGCCAGCTTGGGCGGGGGGGTACCTGAACGGGCACGAGCGGTCGCAGCACCCTTCGCGGCCGCCAGTTACAAATGTTTTTCCAGGGGGGAATTCGTCAGCCAAGCCGAATGGGTCGGGCCCCGAGCGCACCTCCCGCCGTCGGACTTGCCCGAGCCCCCTGCCTTTACCGCGCCACCGCCGCCCCTGCTTCCCCTGCTGCCCCGTGCCGAGGCCATCTGCCGCGGGCCCATCGCCCTGCCCTTGCGGCCCCTGCGCGCTTTCCAACGCGTAGCCGCGCCGAGGAACGCCATCCAACGCGGCGCAAACCTCGCCCTCGCCACTTCGACTCAACCCTCCAGGCGCGACAGCGCACGCAACCGCGTGGCTAGGCGACTTAGACTTGCGCGCGCGCTGTACATCTTATGCCCAGATGCCGTCTTGATATACCTGAATAACTCCTGCGCAAACGCCTGAATAATACCTGAATAACTCACCAAATGCCTGAACACCTGAATAACTCCTGAATCGTTCTGGGAAGCCTGAATAACACCTGAATAACACCTGAATAACACCTGAATAGCGCCTGAATGACACCTGAATGATACCTGAATACCTGAACGACACCTGAATCATTCTGGAAAACGCCTGAATAACGCCTGAATGACACCTGCATGTCACCTGAACAACTCCTGAACAACTGAACGGCGTCGAACTATTTCTGACATGCACGAAGCAACCGTACGCGTGAGAACGTCATTCGCCTTTGTCAAGCAATGGGCGGGCCATGAGCCGACCTGAGGTGGCGAAAGAATGAGGCAGGCAACATGTCATTGCCGTCGGTCCAGACGCCGCGGGTTGGCCACGTCCTGAGGGCACGTAGCGGTCGCGTGGGACAACGCGTGACGGTTCTGCGAAGCGCGCGCGTCGCAAAAACCTGCGGGCGCGAAAATCGGCGCGTCGTGCGCGTGACGCGTTACCAACCGCAACTGGTTCGCCCCCATCCGACATCGGAGGTCGTTCGGCTACCGCGTTCGCAACCGACCGCCGCTTCTCCGCGCGAGATGGGCACGGCATGCCACGACGCCCTCGTTGTCAGCACAACGAACGCCGAGAGCGCATGGACGCCTCGAGTCTAAATTGAAAAGGCTTTGAGTCTAAACCGAAAAGGCCTCGAACATGATTCGCGCGCGGATGCCGCCAACCAATGAATTTGCACAGCGCGCGATGTTCGCGCCCGCGGGAGGCCGCCAGCGCGGTCGGCAAGGCGGCCAGCGCGGTCGGCAAGGGATGACTCGCCCTCGCTGCCGTTGAACATAGAATATAATATCACGCACATCTGGCGGATTGCCCCGTCTACCGTGCAGTATGTATTTGTTGTTCTTGCGGTGAGGGCCAATAAGCGTCGCGCGCGGCGGCACTTGTGCCCGTGCAGCGCTGGCGGCCACGTGGCTGGAAGTGGGCCCGCGGCTGCAGCCTTGGGGCGTCGCGATGACGCACGCATCCTGCAATTGCGGCGCCTCGGCCGACCAGCTCGCAACGCGCCGACGCTTGCGCGAAAGCGCGAAGAGAAGAAAGTACATGGGCGGGGGCAAGACAGGACTGCCGCGAAATTGTTCGCAGTAAGGCAGCCCCCACGTGCGTCTGGGAGCTCACGTGGACCCTCGGCAACTGCTAAGCCTACTTCCTGCGGAACGCGTGGGGTTATCCAGCGCGTCGGTTGTTCCAGTGCGCATCATGCCGACGTGTCCACGTGTCAACGTGGGTGATGCGAAAATGAAACCGACCTGCAACGCGCGCTGGATTTCGCAAGCGCTTCCACGCTGCGAAAGCGATGTTAACTGGAAAACCAAATGGTGAAAACCCTATGTAAATTTTCATTCTCTGTTCGGAAGAGGCGGCCATCTCAACGTGGAACATATGGAAGCGAATTACAAATGCGCCGGCGCGCGCGCGCCATGCTCGGACCAGAGCGCGCGCGCGTCCGAGGACTCCTAGGCACTTCCCATATTCCACGTTGACATGGTCGCCTCTTCCGACCAGAGAATGAAAATTTACATTGGGTTTTGACCATTGAGTTTTCGAGTTAACATCGCCTCCGTTGTAAAGAACTTATACACTCGGCAGCGCGCGCGCGCGCGCGCCAGAGCATCCTTTAGCATTTCCCACATTCCACGTTGACATGGTCGCCTCTTCCGATCAGAGAATGAAATTTTACATTTGGGTTTTGACCATTGAGTTTTCGAGTTAACATCGCTTCCGTTGTATAGAAACGTATACACTCAGCACGGCGCGCGTCGCGGCGCGCGCGCGCGCGCGCGTCGGTGCATGGCAATTGCGGTTTCGACTATTCCACATAGGCATGCTCGCCTCTTCCGATCAGAGAATGAAATTTTACATTGGATTTTGACCATTGGGTTTTCGAGTTAACATCGTTCTTGCTGCGTGGATACGTATACACAATGCCGCGCGCGCTGCAGTGTGTATACTTTTCTAGAAATGCCACATTGGCATGGTCACATCTCCCGATCTCTTCCCGATCTGGAAGCGGCGCCGACGCGCGCACGTCGGCGCGCGCCGACGCGCGCGCGTCGGCGCATGTGTATTTGTTTCTGTATATTCCACATTGGCATGATCGCCTCTTCCGATCAGGGAATGAAAATTTACATTGGGTTTTCACAATTGGGTTTTCGACTCAACATCGCCATGTTGTGTAGACGCACATACACAATGCAGATCGCACCTGCATTTTTAATAGGCTTTTCATAATCTTCACAATGGAATCACCGCCTCTTCCGATCAGAGAATGAAAATTTACACTGGGTTTCCCCATTGGGCTTTGGAGCCAACATCAATTCCACTGTATGGAAACGTTTACACAAAGCAGCGCGTTTGCATTGCTTATGCGTTTTCGTATATTCCACATTGACATGGTCGCCTCTTCCAACCAGAGAATGAAATTTTACATTGGGTTTTCACCATTGGGTTTTCGAGTCAACATCGCATTCGTTGAGTGGGAGCGTATATAGCATGTAGCGCGCGCGTCCATACGATCCTCACAACAGTACGCATCGACATTATTCGCGCCGTGTTCAGTTGATCAAAATGATGAGTGGTCAGTGGTTGTCATGTTTGCGTTTGGTTCAAATGTTTTCAGTTCTTGGTTGTAAATACACCGAGCTGTCATTGCTTGATGTTGTCATGGTTTTGTGTTCTGTGGTTGTTTTGCGGGGATATATCGATTAATGCGCTGTGCACATGTTTATTTTGATGGGCTGGGTGGGTGCGTTATATTTTCCCCAGAACAGCGAAACTTCCCCCAGAGTCTGTTGTAGGCCTTTGTGAGTGTCGCATGAGATTGCGCGTCTCCCTCCCCGGAGTGTGCCATGCGTTCAATTTCGGTTTCGTCGGTCGTCCGCCCCAAGTGATATGCGCCAGCAGAGGACAATGCCAAGTTAAGGACGCCTGCAATGTTAATTTAGGAACGCCGCGGCGGGCGATTGCTCACATAACTGTTCTGACCGCAGGGCTCTCTCACTGTCCCCTCGTTCCTTCCCGTTTCGTTCTCATGGTATATTGCAATTACTGGTGCTACGCATGAAATGTTTTATTGCTTTGCAATTATCAGTTGTCTTGCGTTCCGGACACTGCATGCCTCGATGCTCGATGGGCCCTGGTGGTGGAAGGCGCCGTTGGCATTGCAAAGACGTAGCAATCCGATGCGTTCAATGACCCCCTCTTCTTGACAATAGATAGGAGTTCCCCTCGCCCATATGACCAAAACCCCTTCCCCCCCGACCAATTTTAAAGAAAATCATCACCCCCGCAAAGCATCCGCGACTCCCCTTGCCCTTTTTTTCTTGGTCGTGATGCCGCAATCGGCGTTGCGAGGTGAACAATGTAGGGGCCCCCGAAGTTTCGCGCCATGACTGGTTGTCCCGCCCGCCTCAATCTGTGCCCCCTCTTCCTCCTCCGTGTTTCTTATCTGTCCGTGTGCCGAAACGTTTGTGCTCAAACAATAAGGGTTCGTTGTGAGAACACGACATTCGCTGAGCCTCTGAGCTGGGCGTTTTTTTTTTTTTCGCAAGGCATCCCGACGCCCTGCTAGCAGAGCCCGTCTTGCTGCCATGGGCAAGCCCAAAAAGCACACAGATGCTGGCGCTTCGGACAAGAAGCGCAAGGCCCAGGATGAGCCCGAGGTAGACCACCCCCTTCTCAATGTTCGAATGGCCACCTGCACGACATGCAACCAGAACACGCACGGCTACGAGAAGCACGCGCCAGAGGGCGTCAAGCAGCCACTGTGGTGGCCAAAAGGTGAAAAATGCGCAAAGACAGGTCTACTGACTCCCATGGGACATGAGTGCGGCAATTGCTTGTGCACCAGGAAGAGGTACTACCCGACGGACACCACCCAGGCCACCGTGAACGGTATGATCGAGGCTGGCGGCGAGGCGTCCGAGCGTCATGAGCGGCTTCGCCAGGACAAGGCCTCAGGAGAGTGCAAGTACGTGAAGACCGAGGCCGCCAACACCAAAGTGAAGACCGTTATCCAGAGTGAGCAGTTCAGCGAGGGGTTCGAGGAGGGCCACGCCATCGAGCTCAAATCCTTTGCGAGAGAACGAAACCTCTCCTTCCCTACTGAGCAGATGCTGGTCGATTACATCACGGGTTCCTTGGGGATGGAGGTAGAGATGGGCAAGAAGGGCGTGCTTGTTGTCAACGTCCCCGACATGCCGCATGGGGCCAGTACAAGTACAGGAAGGGCGTCAAGGACTCGGCGAAGAAGATCGTGGAGGAGAAGCACGACGACGAGGAGTCGGCACAGGTTCGGCATCAAGAGGATCTGCGTAGTCGTGAGCGTGAAGGTCAGCCTCTGGGCTTTGGTGTTGCTGCCAAGCCGCGTGTTCGTCTCACTAGCAAGGCGTCGTTTGCTGCTGATGGCGCCCCGTCAAGTGGGCGTGAGACGTCTTCCGACATCGTGGACGTGAGGGCATCGCCACTAGCAGCATCATTGATTACGGCGAGTGACGACATCGGTAACCTCAGCGACGTGGACTCCTGCAGCATTGGTGGTGCTTCGTCTGCTTGTGCCACGCCGATTCCGAGGAGAACGATGTCGGAGGTACCAATAGAAGTACGGACCACCAAGAAGAGGCGTGTTGGCTCTGACGCTCATTCCTCAGGCGTCGAAGGAGGTAAAGCTCTTTTGCATGATGCATCGGTTGCTTTCTCACCAGAGGTCTTGTGGAACAGGAAGTTCAAGTCCAGAGATTACGAGAACGCGCTCACGAAGCTGGCGGCCAGGGCGACAAAGGTGGCAGCGATCGCTGACGATGTTGAGGCGGCGGAGACAGCAGAGAAGCTATTCAAGTTGAGTGTGGAACTTACTACTCAGAAGAAAGCAATCGACGCTTTCAGGCAGAATCCGCAAGACTACGTGGAGAAGCTGGACTCATTACCATGCGACTTCATCGACATCTTCGGCAAGTGTTCTGAGACCGTTCGGGTCAACATGCTATCGGCGACTTCGTTCACTCTTTTGGGCCTTGGTGGTGATGGTTGCGAGGTGATGGCCTTGAAGGTGGCGAAGCTCATGGAGGTCAAGGGCATGTTCTCCGTGGGTGCCCTGAAGGCCAGCGGCTGCGACGATCGCTTTGTGTCGAGCTGCCAACAGAATCTCGTTCAGGGCTTCATCGATAAGGTGGTCAAGAAGAGGCGCGAGGACTTCGTCAAGATCATGTCGTGCTGCTCTGCTGTGATTGGCAAGGTCAAACGGCTTCCAATGGGCCTGCTAAGCTGCGCCCTTCTCACCGTGAGCTTTGGTTGACCTCGATCGTTCCCAGCCCGGAACGATAATGTCAACCGGAGAGATTCGGTGAGGAGGGATCGGTTTCAGGCCCAATGGAAGCTTCCCCAGGTCAACTTGGCGGAGCTCGACCTGGACAACACCATGATCGACGAGACCACTGGGTGGAATTCTCAATGCGCTGCGGACTTGTACGCGCTGGAGTACTTCGGGAGGGTCTTGGCGCAAGACGCCGACGATAGACTGCCCAGAGACCTTCGCATCGAGGGCGTTGCACTCCGATCCCGTGTGTCGAAGTTGAGCGCTCGCCTCCGTTGCCTCACTCGCGCGTCGGGTGGATCGTCCAGCATGGCTAAGATCGCCTGGGAGATGATTCCTGACATCGGGACGGGGGGCTCCTGCAGGCGTCTTGATACTGAGGTCGTCGACGAGGTGATGAAGCTGACGCATTCTCTTCGCATGTATGCTGAGGTATTGGGGGCAAATCGACACCTATGCTCAAGATGGGGGGGGGGTCCTCGGTCCTTGGTCCAAAAGAGTCCCCTGGGGACCTGGGCTTTCTGGGATGCCCGAGGGTCCTCGGGTCGCTGATCTCATCAGCTTGGGCAGGGGCGCAGTTGGCCCCTTCAAGGATACAGACAGCCAGCAAGCTGTTGAGTGCACCTTCGGCCTGCTCCAGGAGATCGCGGGGTCAGAATCGGTGAAGACGTTCGCCAATTTCCTCAACGGCATCGGCGACGAGAACGACAGCGAGATCGAGCAGCTGATCAATTTGAGGGACGACTTGGTGAAGAACCTCTTCAGTGGCCTATCTTTGATCACGTTGTACTCTGGCGGGCTCCAGCAACTGGCGAGCACTATCTACTGCGATGGCATTGGCAATGGAGGCGCAAGCAAGGGAGCCTTAGAACAAATGGACTCTGATGCCGATATCTTCCGTGTACTTGCATCTGTGGCGTCTACTTTGATGATGTTCGAGCTCTCTTCTGTCTACAGGGCCATTGTGAAAGAAACCAATGATCGATGCCTCCTCGCCGCGAAGGTGACCGAGACCAAGGTGATGTCTGCGAAGAAGTGTGACGAGTCGATTCTGACCCACTGGTCGGAGATCTGGGAGGCAGAGGCGCCCATCAAGAGCGCGACGAGGGTGCCCGACGACAAACAGATATCTTCTTTCCAGTTGATATGCGATGTTCTTTCAGCTCTCTCGGCGGAGAACTTGATCATTTCAGTTGTGAAGGCGATTGTTGGCTCACCTGGGTGCCAGCTTGTCACCCAGAACTTCATTGCAGTAGTCAGCGAGCTCGTCGGTTGTTTACCTGCTCAAGTGAAGGTGCTGGTCGACTCGGCTAAGGCATTCAAAACCATCAGGCAGAGTGCAGAACAGCTGATTGCGGGAAAGAGCATCGGTTGCATGCAGAGCACCGCGGCGTTGACCCTCATCCAATCGTTGGTCGAGCCAGTTTCTACCATGGCCGAGATCCCTGGCTGGAAGAGGGCGTTGAAGGAGGAGTGGGCCACCGCGTTCCAGGGCGTCGCGGGGCAGCTCGATATCATCCAGGTAGAGGGCTTCATCAAGAAGTACAGGGACGAGGAGAAGGTGATTGACCTCGTCGACGCGTGGAGCTTCGATGCAAACATGTGGCTGGCATCCAGCACCAGAGACGACAAGCGCACTGCAGAGTTCAAGCTGACCGAGTCCTACATCATCGGCCTCCCCCCAGCAGCTCGCGTTATCGAGGAGCTGTCGAAGGTGGTGGGGTCCCTGCAGTGGATCTCGGACGTGGAGAGCGCGTTGCTTCGCGCCCTGATCGAGAAGCTTCCTGAGATCAAGATCTTGGTTCGCGAAGCAGCAGTGCTGATGGCAACGATGATGTTGGCGAACAGCTTGCTGACCAAAAAAGCCGTGCCCACTACAAAGAAGTACGCCGCCGACAAGCTATCGGTCAGGGTTGCCGACTTGCCGAACTCGTTGCAAGTGAAGCTCAACGACTTCGAAGCTGGCCTCGAGGAGGAGAACGGTGGCCCTCACGCTCACGCGGGCCCAGACAGTACCACGGGCTCGCCAACGGTCGAATCCAAGTCGACCGAGGTGGCATCAGCAGACAAGAGCTCGAAACCGTCGAAGCCACTTTTGAAGCTCAAGATTGCGCCAGTCAGCGCGAAGTAGTTTTCCACCGCAGTTAGTTCGTATGTCTAGGCCCTCCGCCGACACGCGTGGCCACAGCTTGTCGCCGCTGGGGCCTTGAGTGGGCGCTTTGCTAAGAATAGCCTCCGCAGTCCGTGGTGCCGAGCGGGCCTCTTGTGGGCTCAGGGGTGCTCTTTTAGTGGCCTCGTTCGGCTGTCGACCATTCTCATCGAATGGGCGAGCGTTTTGGGGCGGGCTGCGTAGGCAAGTACATGCGAAGCTGTTCGTCTCTCTGGCACGGGTGGCGAAATGAGGGGTCCGATCTTGGGGGTCGACGGATTGAGGGGGAGCAACAGCAAGAACATTCACACCTTATGAAAGGATTCCCTCGCATTGCCACGAAGCCAGCTCAGCTTTCAGTCTTTTTGGGGACGCTGGCCTGCGCGTGAGTGAGAACATCATCACCTTCACCATCATCACACTTACCACCACCCTTCCCCATCATCATGCATCAGTGGCAATCCCTTCTCATTGTGCGGGGGGCGCCTGCACGCATGAGCGGCGGCGGGGGAACGCGGACCGAGATCACGCAGTGCAGCGGCGCATGAGATAGGGGTTTCATTTTAGAGGGTGCTGCAATAGAGGGGAAGCTGCGGGGGTACACGTTGAGAGTCCTACTCGTGCACGCCTGACCCCAATCCCCTGATCATCGCATTCGTTTCATGCATTCTCATTTCTAACGGGTTAAACATCATATTTTCATATAACCCATTCAAAAGGCTTTCCTTACTTTTACATTGGTTTCTTACTTTTTTATTGTTTTCAACAAATGAACCTTTCAAAAACGCGTGGGCCGATTACTTTGCCCGACTCGGAGCCCTCTCCCACGCTTTGCCAGAGAGGTATGTTGACGGGTTCGATCTCCAAGTTTGAGCCGTGCAGTCTCACGCACATGTTTCAGGTCCTAGGGCTTGCTGTGGCCAGGATTGCAGAGCTTGGGCTCTGGAGCCAGGAATGGGGCGAACGGCTTCCAGCGGCCCGCGCGCGGCCCTTCCCAATTCGTCTCGGCACCAACGCGTGCGATCTGCCGGCACCGGCGAGGTCCGTTGCAGAAAGCGCAATCGTTCGGCTTGCACTGGGCTCACGCTCCGATCTCTTCGGCATCGTACGCACGGACTGTGCGATCCCCACGCCTCCGAGCGCAGGGTCGGGGCTGCCCTGCATCTGGAGGGCGCCAGGCGCAGAGGGCGTTTCGTCCGGCTCCTCCTCCTCCTCCTCCTCCTCCTCCTCCTCCTCCATCTCCTCCTCCTCCTCCCCCTTCCCCCGGATCCCTTCGACTTCGGTGCCCAAGACGGGCGCGTCGCTCGTCTCCCCTCTGCACTCCGCTTCTTCGTCCCTTGTTCCTCCTCCTCCTCCTCCTCCTCCTCCTCCTCCTCCACCGCAGGAGGTTTGGGTCTGGTTCCTCCTCCTCCTTCTCCTCCACCTCCTCCATTTCCTCCCCCCCCTCCTCAGCCATTCCTCTCGGGGAGGGGGGCCGCGCCGCCCGGGACCCTGCCCCGAGGTCCGCCGGCCAACTTGGGAGTGGCCCTGCCGGCGGGGGCCAGATGCAATGTGCAGGGGGGGCGTCTCGCATTGCCGTTTGCGGTGCGAGGCAGCGAATGCGATGCGCTGGAGGTGTTGTTTTTTACCGTGCTCCCTCAAGAAGAAGTCCCACGTGTCCGTGACGGGCGACGCGCAGGCCAGCATGCGGACGGTCGACGAGGCACGGGGGGGCCCACAGTGGGACATAGGAGTCTAAACTGCTGTCGGGTGGCGGTGGTAAAGATGACCGATTCGGCAGTTCACCTAGATGTACACGTTCACGGAAGCCGCCCAGTACATCGGGCCCGCGTTTCTGTGCTAATGCCCGTTTTTCAGGAGATGGGGGGAGCCTGGTAGTGCACTGACCCACCCGCCTGAGGGGTCCTGCATGGTTTTGTTATTGGTACCTACACTTTACCTTTCTCTTTCAATGCATTGGCTCGGGCTGTGTTCGTATACTTTTCAGCGTACGTTTGGTCACGCAGCGCCAGCGTAGCCTGAAAAGGAGCGCGCTCGCCTTCGACTAGTTGGCTTGGGCGCAAGATGATCGACGCTGGTGGGCAATCCCTCATTGTTCATTGGTGGCTCTGCAGTGCACAGTGCTTTGTGGAGTACGTGACGTACATGTGGTACACCATCCTCTGAGGCTCTAAGCACGCTCGGCCCTCAGGAGGTTATAGGAGAATCCGAGGAGAATCCTTCTCCTCCTCCTCCTCCTCCTCCTCCTCCTCCTCCTCCCCCTCCCCCTCCCCCCCCTCCTCCTGCTCCTTCTTCTCCTCGTCTTTTTCCCTCCTCCTCCTCCTCCTCCTCCCTCCTCCCCCCCTCTTCTCCTCCTCCTCCTCCTCCTCCTCCTCCTCCTCCTCCTCCTCCTCCTCCTCCTCCTCCTCCTCCTCCTCCTCCTCCTCCTCCCCCCCAGAGCCCTTCGAACTCGGTGCCCAGACCCTCCTCCGGGGCCACCCAGCGGGGGTGGCGAGAGGCCTCGCGGGGAGGCGGCCCAGGAGGAGGACGAGGAGGCTTCCTCCTGGGGCGGGCCGCCGCCGCCTCGACGAGCCCTTCTCCGAGATGATCGGGTCAATGCAAACGAGGGTCAGGCAGGGCACCAGATCCCGCAGGATCCTGCGAAGACCCCCTCTGGTTGACCCGGGTCGGCGAGCCGCTCCTGGTCGCGAGGCGGCCGCGCACATTGGCTGACCCAGGTTTGCGAAGACCTGCGTTGCAGATTTCTTGTTTTCCTGCGTTGCAGTTCTTGGTTTCATGCTGACTCGGGTCTGGATTGACCCCGGTCAGAAGACCCCAAAGATGAGGAGCAGGTGGGGGCGCATTGGTCCCCTAACTTTAAGTCGGGCGTGTCACTCTACAGGAGGAAGTGTCAAACATGGTAAAACAATGGCAGGGGTCGGTTTGTTGTTACCATGTTTGAATACGTTTCGGCTTCGTTTAACTGGTCGCCCAAACCTAACACTAACTCGAAACAGGCGCCCGATCCCGACAACGCGAGGACCAAACCAATACGCAGGCTCCTCGAGACCTCGGGCAGGCAGATGATGAAGAGGTGGAGGCGCATTGGTTCACTAACTTTTACGTCGGGGCTGTCACCCAACGGGAGGAATTGTCACAATAGTACAAACACATTGGTGACGATGTGTTGTTATCATTGTTGACTATGTTTGGATATGCCATTTTTTTGTACTAGCCGTCCAAATTCCGCCTGTAGGGGGACGCGCCTGACCTAACAAAACAGGCGCCCAATCCCGAAAACGCGATGGCCAAAACAAAGCGCAGGCTCCTCGAGACCTCGGGCAGGGTGATGAGGAAGAGGCGGAGGCGCATTGGTTTACTAACTTTCGGTCGGGCTTGTCACTCTGAAAGAGGACTTGTCACACTAGTAAAAAGCTGGGGTCGATTTGTTGTTACCGTGTTTTTTGACTATGTTTGAATACGCTTTGACTATTGCAAGGTCGTCCAACATCCGCATGTGCAGGGACGCGCCCGACACAACACTAACTCAGAACAGGCGCCCAATCCCGAAAACGCGAGGGCCAAAACAGAACGCAGGCTCCTCCAGACTTCGGCCACGGAGATGAGGAAGAGGCGGAGACGCATTGATTCACTAACTTTCAGTCGGGCCTGTCACTCTACAGCAGGAATTGTCACAATATTAAAACACATCGGGGAAGTTTTGTTGTGACCATTTTTGACTATGTTCGGATAATTTATGGCTATCAAATGGTCGTCCATAATCCGCCTGTAGGGGGACGCGCCCGACCTAACACCAACTCAAAGCAGACGCCCAGCCCAACCCCGAAAACGCGAGGGCCAAAACAAAACACAATCTCCTCGATACCTCGGGCAGGGAGATGAGGAAGAGGTGGACGCGCATTGGTTCACTAATTGTGAGTCGGGACTGTGACTCTACGGGAGGAATTATCAATCTAGTTAAACAAATGGTTGGTGACGATTTGTTGTTACCATGTTTGAATATGTGTAGACTATTTTTAATTGGCCGCTCAAAATCCGCCTGCAGGGGGACGCGCCTGACCAAGCACCTAACTCAAAACAGACGCCCAATCCCGAAAACGCGAGGGCCAAAACAAAACGCAGGCTCCTCGAGGCCTCGGCCAGGGATATGAGGAAGAGGTGGAATTGCATGGGTTCATTAACTGTCAGTTGGGCCTGTCACTGTACAGGACAGTACAGGAGGAAGCTTCAAACATAGTTAAGCACATGGCTGGGGACGAGTTGTTGTTACCAATTTTGGTTTTGTTTGAACATGCTGCTTTATATTTGTTTCAATTGGTCGTCCAGAATCCGCCTGTAGGGAGACGCGCCCGACCTAACACTAATTCAAAGCAGACGCCAAATCCCGAAAACGCGAGGGCCAAAACAAAGCGCAGGCTCCTCGAGACCTCGGGCACGGAGATTTCGGGGCGCGGTCTTACCAGGGGGAAAAGCGACGAACGCAACACATACCTCGAAATCTTTGACCCGTTCTCGGATCGTCGGTGAATCCGCGATTCTGGGACTTGGAGTGTTTTTTTACTTGGCTGGAGTAGACAGAGTACACAGGAGTTCAGCCTTGCGTTCATACCTCGGTCCGACGACGACCCCTCGCCTTCCCCCTCCTCTGTCTCTGACGTTGTGATTGTTTCTCCACGTGGCCCCCCGGATGTGTGGACCTTTTCCCCCAGATCGGGGCTCAGGAGACGGGCGCCAATGCAAACGAGGGTCCGCCAGAACGCCGGAGCATTCAGGATCCTGCTGCAGAGCCAGGCATGGATTGACCCGCGCTCGCGCGCAGGATCCTGCAAAGTCTGACTAACCCAGGTTTGCATTGACCCGGGTCGGTGTGTGTGTGTGTGTTCGATCAGACTTATGATGTTCCAACCTATTTTAGCTTTGATCACCAGGGAGAATGTCGAGCATCAGGGAAGTACCGAAGTTGGAGGGTGTTCACGTGTCCG